AGATATTTGAATAAAAATCAATATATGATAATTGAAATTCAGAAAAAAGAAAAAAGTGAGTGACTTGATATGATTATGAGCAATAATTTGTGCTCGAAATGTGGTCATCAGTTAATATTACTGTACAAGACTGTATGATTTATCAAAATAAAATCTTATTCATTATGGAGTTATACTCTACCATAGTGCCCAAGTGTTATACTTATATCAATATTTTGCAAGCTGTCATGAATTGAACAATATTTTCATTTCAGCAGTTTCGCTCCTATCCAGAAATGTGCGTCAGTGGCACAGCGGTAGAGTGCTCGCCGATCACGCACGTTGTCCGGGGTCCGATCCCTGGCAGATGCACTCCTTTACCTCGCTGAGTCGGTAATAAAGCTGGTAAATAAGGAAGGTTGGGCATGGGGCTAGCAACCCCATCCTGTAAAAGCAAACACCACTGCTACGGAAACTTCAAGCCTCCTGCTTGAAGCCCTATTTTCCACTGGGAACGTCAAGGAATAAAAGAAGAAGAAGCTCCTATCTAGTACAAATGTTCCCTAGTGAAATGCTTATTTTCAAAAGGCCCGTAAAATTCGCTCGAGCGATAAATTAACAGGTGCACTTAGGTGTATACATTCAGTTTTGTTGGCTGATGTATGTCCGGAAAACTCCAGTGTATGTCACAATGAAGGCAGCTTCCATACCAAAGGAAGCTGTCTTTAATAAATTACCACTCAAAGGTGATCAAATTATGAGAGAGCTCAGTAGCTTCAGTCAGCTATCATGAGTACATTCTTAGACTAGTCGTCTTTCTTTACATATGGAACATATTCATTTCCTGTACCTACGATTAATGGACGAAATTGTATGGGCTCTACTTCAGACTCTATCCACAAGTTCACCTGCAGTTGCAAAGAAACGATAGAATATCCCAATATCTTTGGAACGAATATAATCGTAAGTAATCATTCAATCACATAAAAAATCGAAATGCACTTAAAGTGAAAAGAAGTCCAGCATCATCTTCGCAAAACATTTATCAAAGTCTGGTCAAAAAATCAATACTATTACTATCAATACTATCAAACAACCAGTGACCATTTCTCACATATTTCATATAACTTTAATTCACAGTTATGGAAGCACTTTGGATTGATCACATTCATGCCAAACTATGTGTATCGAATAAGATAGTCTTCAATGTTAAATACTACAGACTTACTGAAATTCGATTGGTTATTAGTATGCACTTTTATTTTGCATAACTGATTAATTGTCAAACATTTTATTTTATTATTGTGAACCATGCTGACTGTAAGGCGATCGTAAGGAAACTATGAAATGGTATCATCTCTGAATAATTCGCTTCTTAATGCCTTATTTAAATTTCTCTAAGGAACTAACCGTTCCATTTAAAAGTCCCATACTAAACACCCGCAATCAAACTGTTCATCAAAACAGGCTACCTTTTACTGCTTTCTACCGTGATATCTATCTACATCACTTTATGATATTGTCAGCAGTCTTAGGATATTACTTAGAAAGAAATCCTAGGTTTCCATACAATGACTCCTAGAGATGAAATACTTGTAAAGATATACGTAAATTAGTTTTTAAATTTATAAATAAGATAACCGGGACATTACTTACTGAATAAAACGACACCACTTTTCATCCGCTTAATCGTTTTCCCTTTATCCTGGCAACTGTGTTTTTAGTATCTTATTTAAATTTTGAAGGTGTTTTATTCAAGTTGGTCCCAAACCTCGACTAGTTTACTAACATGGAGTAAGCTCGGTGAAGTGGGAGGGTTAGGTGTGAGGCTGAAAACCATGCTCCATAAAATAAAAATATATCACCACCACTAAAAATTTTAGAAAAAGCTTACAGATCTGTATTCTAGATGTAACCCAAAGTAATAAAGAAAAGTGTTCTACTTTTAGATTAACACCATCTCTAAGTAAACTTTACTGTCTGAGATTTTCCACTTATAGACTACACAGTTCGAGGGAAAAATTCATCAGTTTCCTTTCTAAACCCAATATATTCAGATACCAGTAATATGTTCTAACCAATACCAGAAACAGGAATGGAGGAAGCAAACAAAACAAGATGATGGATGAATTATTGGTATGTGGACTTGGAACTTGTACTTGGCCTCAGGTTAACCATTAGTGTATGCTAGAAGAAATTAAGTGATTCAAATATCCCATGTATGTCCAAAATTTATAAATAGACTTCTATAATGTGGGTTCATTCATAAAGAAGTTGATCAGTGTTATGTCGTTTTTTATTCTACCATAATATTACATGGTTTTTATAAATATATGTCATAAGAAGAAAAATACACTACTTAATTGCATAGCTTCACGCCGGATAATTTTTCAGTTAAAAGAATTTTATTGAGTTCCATATGATAATAGCATTTAGTATACAAATTATTTCAATAATTCAGAAAATGTCCTAGTCAGTGGACAACTAAGAACACTGTAAAATTATCTGCGAACAAAATGAGTCTTTCGAATTTAGAAGGCTACATTAAAATTTAAATTTTCAAAAGTCGCTCTAGAATCGGGAATTGACAGGAGTTAGAATACATGGGTTACTAAATTCTCCCCCAAGTGATTGAATAGTTAGCGAGCTTCATCTTGTAAACTGTAAGTCTGGGTTCAATCTACGATGGAGTCCTGGGAGCGTACTGTTGAAGGGTCCCAAACTTACATGAAACGGCTCTCCGGCACTCCCCGGTTTCCAGTGGTTATCTAAATGACATCGGAATTGAAATTATAATCTTAGTTGGGACGATAATAAAATAAAGTAGACAAATCTTACTGACACTTTCGTCACATGACAAAATTTGAATTTCAGTTTAACTTTCATTCAGAATAAAATTATTATAGTAAATAATCCTGTAGCAAGATACCATCACAAGTTACTGATATACCAGTTAAGGGACATCCTAAGTCAGGATTCCTGGTTATCACTTGAGCTAAAAAAGCCGTTTAATTATCAACACAGTTTCTATATCTTTGAGTTTAGAAACAAACCAAGTGCTGACAACTTGTGAGATATAAGTTGAAACACACATGCGAAGTCAGTCAGTTGTTCTACATGTGTCATAAACTTGGCAAGCGAGTCACGAAAATGATTTCCAACAAATTACAGACTTTTTTCAGCAGCTGCCTTCGCTCCATACTGAAGACCAAATGGCCAGAAAGAATCAAAAACAAGAAACTCTGGCAACAAACCAACCAAGAGCCGATTACACGACAAATATGTAGGAGAAAACGGAGGTGGATCGGGCATACATTGAGGAGGCCGTCGAATGTTATCGCATACCAGGCCGTCTAGTTAAACCCCAATGAGAAGCGACGAGTGGGGCGTCCAAATATGATCGCGCAAGGAGGAGGTGAGAAATTGTGGCCAATCGTGTATCCAGCTGAAGAGGACAGCGGGAAAAAGAACTAAGTGGAAATATTTTGTTGAAGCTCTATGTTCCACTTGGAACCCAAAGGAATAATAAAAGTTAGGTAGTTGTGGATAGAAAATGCTGTCATAAAACTTTGAAGCTTTTTGAAGTACTCCTTTAACCACTGAAATTTACTAGGGTGCTAATTTGATTATGCAAAAGATATCCAGAAGTGTATTCAGATGAATTCAACCTATATCAAAATTCATTACCTGTGACAAACGAAATTAAATGTATAAAGGTAGAAAAAACTTCCTCGGAAAGGTAACAAAAGTTTACAGTTTTATATTGCCAACCTAAAAAACAGAAATTGGCTTCCTAATTTGTCGAATACCTATTGTTTATGTTATATTGGTGCCACAAGTTTGTCACGAGACTACTCTTTCAGTTATTTAGAAACCACTGGTCTATATTGTCTCATATTCCTACATGTTCTTTGGAAGTTCAGCTTTACTTCAATAATTCAAGACCAGTGGGTTGGAATCTTTTAAAATACAATAGACAGGTGTAATGATATGTAGTGAATGAGCGTATTTTGAAATGGTGATCTAAATAAAAGTACTTCAATGACGGAGAGCGTTAGTGGTAGAATGCTTCGTAACCACTCAAGATAACCAGTTTCAACTCTCGGTCAGTTGAGTCGTAAACCTTATCTAATTTACTGGCTGGTGGTAATCCTGGAAAGAGAGAAGGTTAGCCAACTCCAAACCATGTAATAAGACAACACCACCACCACCACCACAAAAACTTCAAGGCTTGAAGGACAGTGTTCCACTCAGGGTGTGAGGAATAAAAAGAAAAAAACCCAAAAATGTATTATTAAAATCCCACTTCAATTTCTAACGTACTCATTATCATCGGACAACATTAATCCTATCACTTTTTAAGGATTTTTAAAAACTGCTTGACAAAGTATCGATAAATTACGTGGACTAATCTTACTAATGTAGACAAACTATATTGTGAAACAGAAAACACCTTCACTGTTTATTATCGATAAAGTAGGCATCACTGGTTCAGCGTTAGAATGCTCCCCAACCATCATGTGTTCTGGGATTCGATTCCCAGCTGGAGCACTACTAAACCTTGCTTAGACTGTAGCGATCTCAGTAATGTGGGAAGCTTGAACGTGAGGCTAGCAGCTCCGTTCCATAAAAGAAACACTATTGCTATTGAAACTTTAGAGGTGAAGTTTGGAGCCCTATGCTCTACTGGGAATGCCAATGGAATGTAGGAATGAATTATTGGTAAAGTAATCAGGCTCTACATAATATAAACTCTTATTGTCCTTGATATTATACGCCGTAGTTTTAATATAGTATAGTATGGAACAATTCATACTGTTGTATTTTATTGTTGTCTAACAAATCTGAATTATTTCCCAGGTATTCAGCTACAAAAGTTCAGTGCCTATGACTAATTAAAATCATAAGTTCCAATTCCATTTGCCTTCTTATCAAGAGATAATATGTAGTCCTTTTGTTCAAATTATTCAGATCAAATATTTAGATTGATTAGACAAACATACAGGGATAGGGAAACTTACAACAATTCTCTACATTTAATGAAGTCCATAAATTAGGGCGATATTTTGATGTTTGTAAGTGTTTTCTTTGCTGAAACCATACATTAGGATAATAATTGAGTTCTGTTAAATAATTACCATGAGAATTTGTAAGCAGTGGATTATTGTTGAATAGATATGATCCTGATTGAAAGTGCAATGCTTCTGTCGACTTTCGATTGAATACATCATTCTTTTTAACTGTATCTATACTTGACGCACTGGACTGGTTTAATAAATCAGAATTTTGTGTATCAAAAGTGTTATAATTATTATTCATATTATGCAAAAGCTTGTTAGACTTTTCTAGTTGATTATAATTTCTGTTAATTTGTGATTTATATGTGTCTGGTAGACTGACTGTAATTTCTGAATGCATTCTATGAAAAGGAACTGCAGATATCCATGAGAACATAAAATAAAAAATTAAATAAATACATACTTTGAACGGATTCGTTCGACATATCCTGTGCGTATTCACTGACTCAGTGAAATAAATAGTCATGATACTTGTAATATGAACTATCTGCTCTGATGTATATTTGAATCCAAACTTAACTGTTTATATTTGAAGAATATCAAGAAAAAATTTGTAATTTCCTCATTTTTGTTTGGAAATCTTGACGAATATGTATTAACTATGGTTGAATTGTTGTTTTATTTTGCCGTATTAATCGGCGGACGATTTAAATCCCTTTTTTACTACTGTGTTTGTTGAATCAATCTTTTATTCAAAAACTGTGTACTTGAATGAAAGAAGTGCATAATGTGATTTCGTAAATGCATACGCGTTGCATAATACTACTACTTATACTCTCACTTAAAACAATACATTTATACACGTATATATATATATAACCTGATGTAGACCTATATTTCCTTTCGTTAGTAAAAATAAACAGAAAATGTGTCGATTCATAATAGGCTCTTTTATACACAAAAATGTGTGTGTTTGTGTATACATGTGCACAACGGTGGGTATGTGCGTGTCTATAAATGGAATATAAGGGAAGAGTATCTATGTAGAATGATTAAGACTGGACAATTAGTGGTGACTACCAAAAAATTCGGGTATTGTTATTATTATTCTTGTTACTTGTATTCACTTTATCTATTCATTCATTCATTAGACAATTTGACCAAAGGAAGTAGTAACTGTAACATCACTCCTCTGTCTGCGTGTGTGGTCATCAAAATACTTTCTTTTTTTCACACTCTCTTGAAACACATACACACACATAATTTGATGTATAAACATAAATAAGTTACTTGAACTGTGGGGATAATTTGATGAAAAATCTGTACATGTGTTTTTATTCCATTTCAGGTGGGTCGATTACATACAGATTAGGATACAGATTGCATACATACTTCTTTTTGTTTTCTAAAACATTTTGTTTTTCAATGTGTAATCCTAAGTTGACTCCACTTGTTGCATTTAGTACTCTGAAAATAGGTAGTACAAAATAATGCTTTAATCTGATAATAAATATCTTTTCATAATTCCCTTCTGTGAAAGTATATTGTCTGCCAACCACTTCGACTTTTTCTTTGAATTTAAATGACCCACTGCACAGCATGCCAACACAGCGTATATTCTTCTGAGTAGTTGGAATTTGTGAAACTAAAGAGCACGCCATCAATAACTTTCAGCCGCCTTAAACCACTCACATGGCATAAAGATTATTAGTCTTCTATCGTGTTTATCACATTGCAAACTAAGCAACTGAGATTAGACAAGATTATATTATTTAATGCCCAGATGAAATTCAACATACACGGATTATTTATAACAACGCAGTAATTTGGTGGATGGTGGCTATTAATGGAACCCAGGATACACATTTCATCCTATTCAAGAGTTTTCAGCATGGTATGACTACAGTCAGCAATGAGTGATGTTCACAATGAAACCTAAACCCCGTAACCATCGTTTCAAACGCCGAAACTTTATACACTGAACTACTTGGGCCAGGAAAACAATCTATTTTTCGAAACGAATCAGTTATTATCTGTTTTTTATTTCATTTTGATTTTCCCGTTTACTTACTAGGCCAAAATAACATTGCTGTCTAAAACTTATAATTTTAGTAACACATCTTTGGAAACATTCCTCTTGTTTTTATGAAAATGTATTTATATATATATATATATATATATATATATATATATATATTGGATCATAGGAATTATTAAAAAGGCGGTTGAAGCGAAGAAAATTTTCTTTTCGACAAAGTCATCAACTAGTCTGTACACTCGCGTACTTAGTGTAAATGGGTGGGAAAGTTTCAGAATTATTCTCGGTCAAAGATTAAATTAACAAAATTATGAAGTTTAGTAATCAGAAGGATCGGGTAGAAAAGACATAATGAGATCATAATAACTGGAAAACTTGTCAGCTGGTACAATTACGCATAAAGGATATTGTCAATGGACGCGAACATTGAACGCTTGTTTATTGTAACTTGTAGCCATTGACGGGCAACTCGAAGGCGCGAATTGTTCAGTCGTGTACAAGTTGGAAGAAGACGAAAGAATACGAATAAAAGTAAATTATATTTACTTGTAAAACATTTGTTTATAGACTTTTAATTATCTTGATTTTAATTGTCAAACATTATAACCTTCTAACAAGTACTGGTGTTTTGGAGTTAAAGTTCAGAAACATACAGTAATTATCGGTTCGGAGCGTCTTCGCAAATAATAGGAACTTAGGGTTAAGTTCCTTGACAGTTTTTATTCTTCTGTTCGTTTTCTGGAGCGCCTTCTAAACTCTTCTGGAGAGTACTTACTTGGTCTGCCGCCAGCATCTTTGGACACGGATTATCGCAACGCAATTTGGATCGTTTGGTGACGTTGGATAATGCCTGGGCCAAAGAAGGGACGTGGCACCTTGGAAGCAGACAGAAAAGTAAGTAATGATGAGTTGCCTGCTATTTGTAATGATGTGTTTGTTGTTCAACATGATAAGATTAATGTTCATGCTTTGCCGTCTAGTGATAGTAGGGGTTTTAAGTTGCCGAAATTTGAGCCTGGGTATTTTGAGGGAAGCCCACCGACTATCCACAGTTTATCAAAGAGTTTGAAGTCATGTTGAGCGGTTTTGTAATAAATGATGAAATGAAGTTGATGTATTTATTGAGGTATTGCACTGGAGTTGTGGCAAGAGATATACAGTGCTGTAAGTTTATGTCCCCAAACGAAGGATACTCTGAGGCTATGAGGATATTGCGACAAAGGTTCGGGAAGCCGTTCATGATATCCAGTAGCATTTTTGAGACCGTTAAAGGTAATGGGGTACAGTTAAGCGATAACTCCGAGGAACTCGCAGAGTTTTGGATAGTTTAATGGTGTATACAAATACCCTTGTTTCTCTTAATTGCGTGGATGAAATGAACTCGAGTTATGCGCTTGAGACTATTGCTAAGAGATTACCGGTTCGTTTACAAAGAAAGTTCATAAAGGTCAGTTCCCGTCTAGAAGAGGATGGTTTAGAGCCCGGGTTGGATGATATTGTAAGACTGGTAGAAGACAGCGTCAATCAAGCGACGGGCAAGTTTGCCAACATTTTGCATCCAACAGTAGAACCTAGGGAATCAGTAAATATAAAGAAGTCACTTGTAGTAAAGGCATCTCCGGTAGTTGGTAAGCCTGCAGTGAGCATGGTTAGTGGTAAGAAGGTGGTTGGAAAGCCGGCGTCATCGAGTTCCGATTCAGATTCCAGTGATGATGGAGGTGCTGGTACAGTGAAGAAGCCTGTAGATGTAACTGATAAGTCACTGTTGAACAGCATGTTACAGACGACACCGCAGTTTGTGCAGAAGGAGAGAGTTACAGTTTCAGAGCTCAGTTCTGACTACACAAGTTCACAAGGTATTACTACTCAGAGTAAAGGTATTAAACCATTAAGGATTCATGAGGAAGAATCCAAGTCATCTACTGCTGTCAGTAAAGAGGTTGAAAATGGTGAAATCAACCATATAAACGACGGTAGAGTGAATATTTGTGATAATGATCATGATACTGAGTCGAACAAAGGTTCTGTACAACTTGAACGCAAACAGTAGAATTAAAGGCAGACACGATGGCAGAAGGTATGGATACTCAGGAGAACGTCAGTGTAAATGATCCGCGTGTAGTCCACCTATCGACAGATGTTAATGCTAAATTGGAGTTAATCATAAAAGGTAGTAGTGGTGGTAATCCTGCGGTTAGATAACCTTCTGAATGTCGAACAGCAACAGCTTCTGATGTACCTCTAAGTTCATCAACTTGTATCAGTCAGTCATCGTTGGTGTTGTCATCCACAATGAAAGGGATGTCCATGAACCCATGTGTCTTATACTGTGATTATGCTAGTATCGGTCCATTTGAAGGGGCGAAAGTCAATGGTCAGTTTAGTGAGGATAAGCCAACTGTGTATGCGAGGGTAATTGTTAAACTAACTTGCACGAATAAGGGCCTTTCAGGTTTCAAGTTACTATTTGAATGTTATTATCTTTGGTGTAAATTACTCTGTGCCTACGCTTGGTTGGTCAGAAACATCGTATGTTTGTTAGCCATATATATTCCACGATACAATGTCATGGGCGTGTCACCATTCAGATTTGAGGATATAGATGATAGAAGGAGGTCAGTAAATGAATTCAACGACGATTTTCCAACTGAAAAGGGTTGTAGGCATACTGCTGTAAGTCCTACACTTCTTCAAGGGTAGTGCGTCGAAGCTCAGCCATCGTGCTTGGTGTGTTGTTTTATACATATGTTCATGTTGTATATACTGAATTGGTAAAATCTCTCATCTATCTGTTGGTTAATTTTGTTTGTGTCCAGACCCTTTTCCACTTGGATCGTCAACCTGAGAAGGAATGTAGGCGTACTGCTGTAAGTCCCACAATTCTTCAAGGGTAGCTCGTCAAGGCAGAATCCACAGTATTTGATGTATTGATTGTACATATATTTGTGTTAAGTAATTTAGTGGGTTCAAATTCATTTAATTGTTGGTTAATTTCATGATTATCGCATTGTGTGAATCATCTTGTAATGTTGTTGTAAGCACTTCTGAAGTCGTTTCTAGTCTTCGAAACTTGTGAACAAATCGAGTAGTGTTAGAGTCAGTGTATGCGATTTGATACGCCGGGGAGGGGATTGTGCCAGAGTGACATAAAGCAGCCAACACCCCGTGGACCAGATCAGTGGTGGTACTGTCGACAGAGTGCGAAGGAAGGTTCCGATCACTGAGGGAGATCCCATACGCCTGGGAGAGCGTGCCGGTGTGATGTGGTATGCTTGTTGTGTGTTGGGCTTTTTTGTCTTGCTTTTCCACTTTAGCCTAGTCCCGGTTTGTCCAGGTTCCCGCGTTGGCAGTCCAGTTCGAGTTTATCGACGCAATGGAAAAAAGGGATAGACCCTTTTTTGCCGGAGAGTGTGAATGGAAGTGAACACTGAACGTTGGTTCATTGGCCTTGGTCGCCATTGGCGGGCAACTCGAGGGCGCGAATGGTTCAATCGTGTACAATCTGGAAGAAGACGAAAGAATACCGATAAGAGTATAGCATATTTATTGTAAAACATTTGTTTACAGACTATGTACTAACCTCAGTTTTAGTTGCCATGAAAATTTTCTTCGCCTCAACCGCCTTTTTAATAATTCCTATGATCCAATATATATATATATATATATATATATATATAATTGCGTCGCTTGAGAATGATGTCCATGAACGCCTCTTTTATTTATAACATGTCTAACATCCTTTGATAACTCCAGATTTTGTTGTAAACAGGTAAGTTAATTTATTAACAAGCCACGAAGCAATTATAGCTTAAAGCAAATAGACAAGTAGATAAGTGAGAAAGGAATCAATGTGTCAAACTCT